ATTGGTATTGGTGTGACTTTTGAATTGATTTTTTCGCTCTATTTTAAACTAATTTGAAATTTTAAAAATTGCCTGCACATCAGCATCAAAATACCTTTCTAATGATATATAATTGTTTATACCTTAGAAGTACAGTTTAGCCGTAAAAGGGGTGTAAAGGAAACATGATTGCCTATTTATATAATTGATAACATGCGAAGAGATTTTTTGTCGAGGACAAAATATCTGTACCGTTCGCTCGATTTTCGAAAATGAGATGTCAAATTAAAGCGCTAGGTCTGTATATACAAACTGAAAGTACTCTTTGTTCCATTTAGCTTATACTGCCTGACGTACCACTTAATTTTCTTTCGATTCGTTTTCGATCCGTGAAAGGATGTTACAATTCGAGCTCTGGTCTTAGTTTATCGAACAGAGTTGCTTTGTACTCACATTGTCAGCATAGAATGGGAGGGAGGCACGAAGATACCTCCGCGGAACATTAAAATTGATTCTTTCCAAAAGCTGCGGACAGTCAGAAATTCCTTGGACAATGCAAAGTTAAAGATAACATTGACCTCCATGTATCCAACGTTTTCAAATTGATAAGCAATAAGCGCGCATTATATGAAGGTATAGGATCTGAGAAGCGTACTGAACGTAAGGCGAATTTGAGAAACACCTTCTGAATGCGTTCAATCCTATTAATATGAAACTGGTGAAAACGACGCCAGATTATTGCTGCATACTCCAAGTGGAATCGCACAAAGGAGTTATGTAGAAGTTTTAAAATGTAAGGATCGGAAAATTCAGAGCTATTTCGCCGTACAAAGCCAAGCATTCAATAAGCTTTAGAAATAATAAAATCAATATGGCTGGTAAATGAAAATTTAGTATCAAAGACAACACCAAGATCCTTGATTTAATTTACCGCCTGCAAGCTACAATTAGAGATGCTGTATCCAGTTTTTAATGAGTTACGTGACTTAGAAAATGAAACATAAAAGCATTTATTAATATTCAAAAAAAGATAAGAGCTCAAGCACCACGAATATAAATTATCCACCTCGGATTGGAGTTTAAATAAGTCAGCGAAGGAGAAACAAGAACCAATGTCGTTAATGAATAATACAAAAACCAATGGACCTAGAATACTACCCTGTGGAACACCTAAAGTAGCAATAAAAGGTTCTGATTGAGCATCAACCACAGTAACAACACAGTGCCTCCGTTCAAGATAAGACTTAAGCTATTGCAGAAAAGTAGAATGAAAACCTATGGAAGCCAGTTTGTCAATCAAGATCGCATGTGAAACCTTATCGAAGGCTTTAGAAAAATCGGTGTAAATACAATTTACTTGATATCCGGCAGAAAATGAAGAGATACAGTACTCAATAAAAACTGCCAGATTAGTGACTGTAGAACAAATGTGCTTTATTTTATTTATCGCTGAGCAATAATACCAAATTTAAACTTAACAATTGAGTAATAAAGCAAACTTCTTCCTCTTATTTGGCGCTGTAAGCGCCTAAGCGATTTTGGCCGAGTTCAACAAAGCACGCCAGTCGTTTCTTTTATGTGCCAACTGGCGCCAATTGGCAATGCCAAGTGGAGCCAAGTCCTTCTCCACCTGGTCTTTCCATCTTAGTGGGGGCCTCCCTCTTCCTATGCTAACACGAGTGGGTTCCGAGTTGAATAGTTTCAGAGGTGGAGCGTCGGTGTCCATTCGAACAACATGACCAATCCAGCGGGGCCGCTGTATTTTAATTCGCTGCACTATGTCCATCTCATTGTGAAGCTCATACAGCTCATCTTTCCATCGTCTGCAGTGCTCGCCATCGCCAACGCGCAAAGGCCCGTAGACTTTCCGCAAAATCTTTCTCTCGAATACTCCAAGAGCCGCCTCATCGGATGTTGTCATTGTCCATGCTTCTGTGCCATACACCAGCACGGGCATGATCAATGACTTATAGAGTGTGGTTTTCGTACGTCAAGAGAGGACTTTACTCCTGAATTGCCTACTCAGTCCAAAGGAGAACTTGTTGGCAAGAGTGATTCTGCGTTGGATTTCCATGCTGACATTTTTATCGGTGTTAATTCTATTCCCCAAGTACACGGAATTCTGTCAACAGTGACGTGGGTGCCAAGGCGCGGATGTACTGACTGTTTCTTTGATGACAGGAGATACTTCGTCTTGTTCTCGTTTACCACAAGACCGATTCGGTTTGCTTCCTTATCCAACTTGGAAAAGGCAGACCAGACTTCGCTGTTTTTGTTACAGATAATATTGATGTCATCGGAATAAGCCAGAAATTGCACGGTCTTGTAGTAGATTGTTCCTGAGCGGTTCAGTTCTGCACCTCTTATTATCTCCTCCAACATCAGATTAAAGAAGTCACATGAAAGAGAGTCGCTCTGTCTGTCGCCCCGTTTGGTGGCGAACGGATCGGAGAGGTCTTTCCCATTTCAGACGGAGCTGGTAGTATTGCTTAATGTCATTTTACACAGCCGTATTACTTTGGCGGGGATGCCAAATTCAGACATAGGGGCGTATAGGCTACTTCTTTTAGTGCTGTCGAAAGCGGCTTTAAAGTCGACATATATGTGGTGAGTGTCGACTCTTTTCTCACGGGTCTTTTTCAAGATTTGGCGTATTGTGAATACCTGGTATATGGTGGATTTTCCAGGCCTAGAGCCTCACTGATAAGACCCATCAGCTCATTGACGGTGGGCTTCAGTCTCTCAAACAATACGCTCGGTAGGACCTTGCAACCTATGCTAAGAAGGCTGATACCGCGGTAGTTGGTGCGAATGGTGGAGTCGCCTTTCTCGTAGATTTGTGGATTGGGCAGAGCACACTTAAATTCCAGTCNTCGGTGGGCTTCAGTCTTTCAAACAATACGCTCGGTAGGACCTTGCAACCTATGCTACGAAGGCTGATACCGCGGTAGTTGGTGCGAATGGTGGAGTCGCCTTTCTCGTAGATTTGTGGATTGGGCAGAGCACACTTAAATTCCAGTCGTCGGGCCTGCGTTCATCTGACCATATTCTGTATAAGAGTTGATGCATGCACCTTATCAACTCCTCACCACTGTACTTGAATAGCTCAGCGGACAGGCTGTCAGCTCCAGCAGCTTTGTTGTTTTTCAACCGCGTTATTGCTATTCGTACCTTTTCATGGTCAGGCGGAGGAACATCGACTCCGTCATCATCAACTTGGGGCTCGGATTCTTCTTTTCCACAACTTTCCGTGCTGCTACAATTCAGCAGCGTGGAAAAGTGTTCCCTCCATAATTTAAGTACGTTCTGAATNACCACTGTACTTGAATAGCTCAGCGGACAGGCTGTCAGCTCCAGCAGCTTTGTTGTTTTTCAACCGCGTTATTGCTATTCGTACCTTTTCATGGTCAGGCGGAGGAACATCGACTCCGTCATCATCAACTTGGGGCTCGGATTCTTCTTTTCCACAACTTTCCGTGCTGCTACAATTCAGCAGCGTGGAAAAGTGTTCCCTCCATAATTTAAGTACGTTCTGAATATCGGTAACTAGGTCGCCATTGTTGTTCTTACAGGAGTACGCCCTGGTCTTGAAACCTTCCGTAAGCCACCAAACTCTCTGGTAAAGTTTTCGGGTATTCTTCCTGTCGGCCAGCATTTCAAGC